ATGTTAAAAAAAACTTCCAAAACTGCGCTGGTGGATGTGGAAAAGTTATGTTGATGAATAATTCCGAATGAAAACCTGGTTGATTTCCTAATATAATTCCTAGAATCAAACAGAAAAAAAGTACCAAAAAGATATTCGGCAAGAGATGAAAGCGAAAAGTGACACACGTCCATCAAAATCAGTGACTGAAAATCTCGTTAAACTTGAATTGTGTGCTGCTGTTCTGTGCTCTCAAGTAGCACATGTACAAGTTGCTTGATTGTGTAATGATTTAATGATATCGAATAGCATTCCCCTCACACATGTTCATTATTTTCCGTCCGACGGCACTTGAATGTAATTTAAAAGAACATATAAGGCCGCGCGATTTGTGCTGCGAGCTTTTCGCCGTCAGCAGGAATTCTCTCAGCGTTTTTTTTTTTGCCAGCGCGCAATTCGCATTAAAAGTATAGCAGCAGCGAACGTGGAATGAAATATGCACACACCTGTTGTATGTGCCACTAAAAGATAATAAGTTGTTCAACGCACATATATGAGAAGCTTTTTTGAAATCATTAAGTGGAGCAAGTCTCCGCCGTAATGTCATTTGTATGACAGCCGTGGACGTCGTAATATTAAATAAATACCCTGCACGCACTCGAGTACACTAATTGTAAAAACAGTTCCATTGCAGATAATTTCAACGATTTTCATGTCTCGGCGTCTTGTCAAAAAGTTTCCATGTCAAAACAAATCCAGCCGCGTCACTCAAATGAACAGTGGTAGCAGGATGAAGCTTCAAATAATGTGAGAAATACACAAGAATAAAATAGGTTATTATTTTTTACCAGCTTAAATTTTTCTTCACGACGATAATTTCCAAAATTATATTGAAATTTAGTAAAGTAAACTTAATATTATTGATTACAGATGAAAATAAATAACAATGAAAACATGAGTGGTGATTATTAATTGAGATTTGAAGTCCATAAATAAATTAAATTTACCAAAGTTGATGGAATTTAGAATTGATTTTCAAAAATTTTATTGAAAACTATAAAATAATTTAACCACATTTCTTGATAATAACACGAACCATTTTAAATTTTTATAATGCATATTGAATTTGCGTAAAATCTGATCCCAAAAATTTTTATTGGTAATTTATTTATTTATTTTTTTAATTGCCCATCCTTCTCGGGAAAAGCGCTAATGGTAGCAGTGTAATAGAAGTTATTTAAATAAATAATATTAACATATTTAATATAAGAACACTCACATTTTAATGATTTAAAAAAAAAATCAAATGGTGATAAAGATAACACATTGGACCCACTGGGCCGGGTTTGGTTGTTGGGAATTTGAAGAATGAGGCCTATATGAATGTAAATTTCGCCTGGAATTTATAATGGAAACTGCAGGAAATACCAGACTGCATAGCCAAAATTGTATAGACGAAATGCCTGCAATTCCTCTCGAACCTCCTATCACAGTGATCAATGCACCTCCACAATAATTTCCTGTTCTTGAAGGCTTGTGAAATTACAAGCCAGAAAGAAAAATTTCAAAACCTGCTGGTGACCCCAGCCGGGACAGAATCCAAGCAGGTTAATTTTATTAATTTTACATAAATTATTTGTGCTATCAAATTCCTCTTCCTCATTGTACCTGAAATTAATCCCCAAAACATATCAAATTGCCAGCGTATTTTTATGGTCCATTATATTATTTTATATCTCTTTTTAGAAGGATATTCTTGATAAAGTTATTTCAATTAAAATCGTGGATAAATCCGTTTTAGCCATTAATCAATTTGCGTCGGGCAAAAGAAAATTGCGCAAACGATTATTGATGTAAAATTAAGGCTTGCGCCGCGCAATAAACGAGACCATTGAGAGTAAAAAATAAAATTATCGATATCTCGGGAGCAATTTAATTTGCCCGGCAAGGGAGTTTGAGAGTGCAGTGCAATAAATAAGAGATAAGTGTGCAGAGCAAATACATAAATAAATTGCCCACTGGCCCCATCAGCAAATGCCCATCTCTCTTTTATTTTGCTGCGCGCAGAGCGTGTGCTTAATTGGAATTCCGAGGTGAAATTTACGAGACCTGCTGAATCGCCACATAAATCCTGCGTTCGGGCACCAATAATTAAGTCTTTTACCGATGAGCGCGGCCATCAATTAAAACAACTGGTGCCCACCTCTGCCGTTTCGAAATCGAACAAAACACACGCGGCGAGAAGACGAAAAAAAAATAGTTGGGAGGCATCTGCTTATTAATAAAACCGCGGCGCAATTTATAATTCCGACCTCTCAGATTTATTGCTTCATGTTTTACGGCGCAGAGAATTATCACCTTCAATAAAAATGTTTGCGGAAAAAGCTGCCAATTGGGACGGATTTATTATGGAGAAAATGTTTTTCATTAGTGGCACGAAACATCAAAGTGAAAATGATTAATCTCGCTCTCGCAACCCTGCTGCTCTTCTCCTAGCTTGTTATTAATAAACGCCAGGTGTATATCTGTGTGTATGTATTGATTAATCACGAGCCGCGCTCCACAGGTATGTAATCAGCGCTGTTTCGCATTTTGAATTGAAAATCACACACATACACACCAACCAACCCTGAGCTAATTAATCACATTGATTTATTGCTTCTGGCCACATTAGCTGCAGCTTTCCAAAATATACAAACTTTCTTGATTCTTCCTAAGTGAGTTGTTTGCTTCTCAAAATAAATCATTATTCTTTTTTATCCATCAATAAATGATACTTGAATTTTAAATGTGGGACAAATTGTGCTCTGTAGTAAAGTTCGCACTGCATTTTAGTAAAACACAGTAAAACATTTACTTTAATAAATGCCATAAATAACTTTGATTCTGATTTATAGGCAAATTTTTTGCACTAAATACGATTTGCAAATGAAAATCAAAGCTTTGATAAAAAAAAAAAATGATGATTTTCAGCTTCGAATTATGCAAAGAAACTTAGTATTTTGAAAAGAATTTCAAATTTTAGCTACTTCTAAAAATTCAGAATTTTTAAAATGTTAAAAATAAAATTAAAACCCTTATGAAAAATTCATATTTTTATAAACTTTATAATTAAATAAAAGTATTTTCAATAAAAAACCCTTCTAAAAATAAATTTTTTTGCTTATGTGATTCAGCTTTTTGAGCATTTTTCCGTTTCTCGTGCATAATTCCGATGCGCTTGTTTTCGGCAATTTAAGGCAAATTCCGCGGTCTCTTCGTCAAGTATGTAACGTCTTGATCAGAGCCCATTAAGTTAATTCCACGCGCGGGGTCGAGACGGAGCGAAATCAAATGAGAGTGTGGAGTGACGTGTCTTATTGGAGAGACGTGAAATAGGTCATAATGTGTAACTGCTGCGGCAGTTGAGCCGCGTCACTGCCGCGACATTAAAGGGATATCAAGATGACAAAGCCGTGCCGCCGCCTTTGACACTGCCCGTTAAAATACGCACGAAATGAATAATAGTGGCGGTCTCTGGCTCATTATTATCATTATTGCATCTTGTTATGCCTGTGGGAGGGCTCGCTCGCTCGCTCGCTCATTCAGCACGGCGCTGATGATAATTTACAAGAGCGGAAACCATCCCTCATCCGTCTTGACACTCGGCTCATCAATCTTGCATGTAATATGCAACACATCATCGTCATTGTTAATACACTCGCCCTTTATGCTCTTTAACAAACCGCTTCCTTTCGCAAAATTTATTTGCCACTCTGCCCTTTTATTTTGTTTTCTATTACCATGTTATAAAATTGCAAATTCCGAAGCATTTTTCCGGTGCTCCTTGTATTTCAAAATCATCAAGGGGAAATCTGTTTTAAGCTTATATATGTAAATAACAAATAACTTTATCAACTTTTCTATTAATTAAATATTTATATTCAAATTGACTTAAAAACTGCTTATATTGCATTTAATTGAGTTCATTGCTCTAACTATTGTTCATGAAATCTGAAAAATAAAAAAATTTGAATAATGCGTATACACAAATCTGATAAATTAATGGTATAAAACTCTCATATCAGGAAATTTGAACAGAATAATTATATGAAAATGATATCTAAACTTTACTTTTCAAAATTTTTATTTAAGATTTCAACATTTTTAAGATTTTGTTTTTTTTCAAAATAAAAGGTCAATTTCAGAGCAAATTGATGAGATTTTACATAAAGAAAATAATTAATTAAATTGCAGATTTTTTGATAAAATAATCCAAAAAATATTTTGCATTCACTGATATTATGCTGCGTAGCTCTTTCTAGAATAAGTTCTTCTCTTTTTATTTTAATTGAACGTCCTCTTATAATTGGTAGTAAAACGGGGTTTCCAGCACTCGGATTTATCAATCTGCTCGATCTCCTTAATTATCATGCGAGTGTATGATATGTGTCAGTCGGTGGCAATTATTTTCCTTCCTCCGCGAACTGTAATTTTGGGTCGTAAAATGAGCGGCAATTTTGCGAAAAAGGTATAAATTTACTGCCGCTTGTCAACGACAGGTATACGCAGTGGACAAGAATTTAAAAACGTCAAATTGCGGAGCTCGTGATTAATGTTTCCTCTTTTGATAAACGTTGCCGATTGTGTAATTGGAGACACTCCATGCTGTATGGTGACAGTGAGTGACACATTCGTGTTGAACTTTTCTGATATTTTTTTATCTTTTAAAAAGAAAGTGCCCAAAAAAGAGCGTTAATTTTTTCGCCTTCAAATTATGTTGAGTAACGAGGAATAATTTGAAATTAAAAAAAAGAATCGTTTATCAGAAATAAAATATTAGAATAGGGAAAAAGACAGATTTCCGGAAAACACTCTTGATATTAAATATGTTTAATGACCTATTCCACCTGGACGAAATGAATTGAGCACAAAATAATAATACAAATAAAAAATTTAAAAAAAAAATCGACACATCTAAAACTTGCCAAAAGTTTCACCAAAATTCAGACCTGATTGACTGATTCAGAATTCAGAACTACCTTAGAATTTCAGATCACTCCTTTGCCTTGATGTCCACTTAAATGCCCACCATGACCCGGTGACCTTGACCTTCACGGCCAGATCGTTGCACTCGATCCGTTTCACATGGCGAAAATAATATTTGTTGATGTTTTTGGCCTGCCATGTGGTGATGGGGCTTGGAGGGGGACGAGATCGCGACGGACGCAACTCATTGCTCTTGGTGCCTGCCCAGAGTCTTAAAATAGAATGACTCACTCTCGCACAATTTAAATCGTTGCCAACACGAAAAAGTTTAATAGTTTTGATTTTAATTATTATTTCTGCCGAAATATTAAATATCGTTGGAAAGAATTAATTCCAATGTTTTTATATTCAGTGGGGATTAAAAATGTCAGCCGAAAATAACTTCAATGAACGTGGGAAAAGTTTGATCCTCAGACTAAGCGCTCAGACTGGCATCATTGGCAGGCGTGTTAACGTTTTAGAAGTCTAAGCACCAAGGCCAGACCCAGCAATGAAAGCAGACGAGAACTTCCTGTTATCATTTTCAAGACTTTTTCGCGGTGATTGTTTGCTTTATCAGTTTAATTTTAGACCGAGTAAGTGTTGCGAAGTGATATAGTAGACTAGAAGTGATTAAGTTCATCATGGAAATGTGCTCGTCTTTGTGGGAAAGAGCTGGAAAAGCGCTCGAATCGTAAGTGGATGAAACCCACGTGGGCCTCGAAGAGGCAATTTTAATTTTTTTTTCTCATTTTAGCATTCCCAATCCTAAAGAAGAGCTTTCTTCTTTTGTGGATAAAATGACTCAGCTGGACGAGAAAGTGTCCGACTTCCTGTTGCCTCAAATCCAGGAAGTTTCAGAACCTGCCAAGAGATTCTTCCAGAAGATGAGGTCGGAGAGCAAGGAGGAATGGGTGGACGAGGCCGAGGAAAAGGTTGAGGTGACCAAAAAGGCGGTGGAAGAACTCAACAGCTGCCTACAGAAAGTCAAGGATCTGATGGACACATTTCAGTCCAAGACCAACACCACTTGGACTCGTTCAAGGCCACAAGCTACATCCCCAGAGTGGCGCAGAAAGTAATTATTAATACGCCAATTAAACATTTATAAATAATGATAAATTAAATTTACAATTCTATTTAAAATTTGCTATTCATTATATATTATGTGGAATTTTTAATTAAAATCATTTATGGAAATTATAATGGAAGTCAGGATTTATGCAATTTGATTAATTTTGATTTTGTTTTTTTGTTCTTTTTATTTAAATTTATTGTGAGTCCCAAGCCCAATTATTAAAAAAACCAAATTAATTCAATATATTTTGTTTCGTTCTGCAACCTAAATGTAAAGTTAATTTTTCATAAATAATTAATTCAATTTTATTCCACCAATCTACAGAAATAACTTAAACAATACAGTTAAAAAGAATCTGAAACTGTAAATTTAAATGCAAAATAATTTAACTGCAAGTTTGATATTATTAAAAGTTAACAAACTATAATTAAGCAATTTATTATTGCATCATTTTAATTTTATTTATGACATTTTATTTTGTTTTCAAAATATCCAGGAGCTTGATTTTTCTAAATTTTTTCTTTTGCTTAACTTTTGTTGCAGGTACTCAACCACAGACAACCCACCCCCGAGTGACAATGACCCCCCTGAGGTGTGGTACACCTGGCTGACCTGTAAGTTCACCACCATTCTGGAGTTCATCAAGGACGAAGTGATGCCACCCCTGATTGTGTACACGGCATTGCCGGCCAGTCTGGTGCTGATTGTGACCGTGTTGTGCCCCGCGGTGGGAGTCACTGCTCCCCTGGTGCTCAAAGGGTTCGTTGCAGGCGTGTGTGGCCTGTACTCGCTGAACAAAGTGCTGCCTTCTTTGATCAACCTGCTGAAAGACGCTCAACGCGGAAAAGGTGCCGTTGCTTCCACCTCCAACAGTTCTGGCATCGACAAACTCAAGAACTTCATGTCTTCATTGCACGGCGACGATAATTGAGCCTCATTTAATTAAACTGAGTGCAAAGTGAGCGGCGGCTTTTTCCTCCTTTCAAGTTATATAAGTCTCTGGTTGGAATATTTTCGAGAGAATAAAAGGAATTCCTGCAACGAAGATCGGCCATTGTTCTCATTACAACCTGTGTTACCCGCGAGTCCATAAATTATTCTGTTTTTTTCTCGCCAAATTCCATCGGAAAAATCTCGCTTTGTTTTTCTTTCCTCATAATTTATTGCTGAATTCGCGAGACGTTTGAAATTTGTGACAGGCCAAGATTAATTAATCAGCCGCCTAGCTTTGCGGCCGCCGCTTTTTATGACAACAATGCGCGATGCGTCTTCGGTGTGTGGTTCCGAGAATGCGGTCGTGACAGGTAAAGGAGCTTCTGTGCGCCGACCGATGATGCCTTTTGATAGCCGCGCGCACCTTTTAATATTCGCGCGGCGCGCAACAGCCCTTCAGACGCGCCTCCGTTTTTCGGGAAAATAAGACTGGCGAATAAATATTCACGGCTCACGCAGAGGCAGAGAAATGCCTCTCCCTCAAAAGACGAGAGGAACCGCTCCCTTTTAAATATAATGTACGACAGGAATTCAAATTTGCTTTTTTTCTCTTATATTAACTAATAAGCTGCAAACAAAGGAACCGTTTAATTTTTAATCATTCTGATTGAGAAGAAAAATTTTTGTTTTTAAAAGCAAATACCGCTCATTGTATTTAATTTAGTTGAACATGGAAGTTTTGATAAATTCAACAAATTTTATGGCAAGAAAAAAAGGGAAGAATTAAGAGAAAGAAAGAAAACACTTCTAGCTTTAATTTACATAGGAAATTCTACTTGTTTTAAAAATTACATTAAAGATTTAGCAGGATATGGTTAATGTTATTTGATTTGGTTCTTAGTAATTTTAAAGGGAAAAATATTAAAAATTTTTGTATCAATCAAGAAGGTTAATTTTTTTTATGGATTTGCATCAAACTTTAAATTTGCAGTGCTCAAAACTTTTTTTGTTAAATTTATAGCACTGTGGACCAGAAGATTTAACTCAGAATATCTTGGAAAATGAAATAACTAATGGGAAAACATTTATTATTTCTCATTTTTACAAATGAATTTATTTAACACTTACCCCAAGAGCTTACCTATAGAAAAAGGGAACTAACACTTTTGTTCTCTGTAAAATATATTTTTAGGTTGCGGGTTGATTATGTAATAAATTTCAAAACTTTCTATCCCATTGTGTTTCTTAAGTTTTAAAGCTAATTAAAGAACAACAATCTTCAGCTGTTCGTGGCCTTTTGTTCCTTTTATTATTGTTTTTATTCTATGACAGATTACTTGATGGCTGCCACTCATCAAAAATCAATTTATCTTGCTTTCGGGCGGGAGGTCGGTCGGACAGAGAAACAGTGCAAATATTTAGAGACGGATTACTTTCGATATTGATTTTTGCCTCGGGCCACACAAATGTGGCGCGCGGGAGTCTGGATATAAAAATTGTGTCTAGGCTGTTATTTGGTGACGTGTCTGGTGTGGTTTACCGTGCAGGCCTAGGGCAGGCCATTCATCACTGCCGAGTGTCACACATGCCAATCAAGTGTGATGTATTTCTCTAATCACTCTTGGGCTCACGTCACTTATTATAAATGGCGCGGGCGGGTGAAAGATCGGCCGCCGGGAAAATTCCCTGCTACACCTCCGTCATCAGCCGCCGCTGTATCAACACTGCGCATCAACAGCCGAGGCTCATTAAATCGCGAGCAATCATTAGCACAGGACAACAGGAAGCATTAATTAACGAGCGAGCCGATGCAATAACTCAGCAGCCCAAACAACGTGCTGAGAAGTTTTACACTCTCGAGATCGGGAGAGGCTGATGAAGAGGTAGGATGGATGTGAAATCTGAAAGGTAACACGACTTGTAAATTTTATTTGCTTTATTTATCTCGATTAAAACAAGTAGTATTTTAACAGCTGCAATTTCTGGGGGAAAATTATAAATTATTGGTTGCGAAGTAAATTGAAAAAAATAAATTTAATGTATTATAATATTATTTTATTTTGTAAATTTAAAATTTGACCAGGTACTTGAAAATTTAAAGTTTAAATTTGAGTTCAATTTTTTTTTAAATTCCAAATATTATTTGAAGTACATTTTATATTCCAGTTAATTTAGATGATTAATTTTATTTAAATGGTTACTTGACAATTGTTTTACCAGAAATTGAAAATTTTTACAAAAAAACAATCAAATAACTGAATATTAACAAGTAAAAAGTAAATTAAATATGTCGCTATTGAATTCAAAATTGACATATTATTTACTGAAGGAAATTTCAGATTTCATTAAAAATGTGGTCACGGGTCACGGTTAAAATTCATAAAGTACGTTTGTGATGGTGGAGAAATCTGTATACTTATCTATATTCAAATTCTAATTAATAATAATCAGAGTGCAAAACATAGAATGAGAAAATTTTTATAGTTATGTAATTCATCATAATTCATAATGCAATGCTTTTTCTTTCGAGATTAAAACTAAGGAGAGATAATAATGACAGTTCCAACAAGAGTTTTTGTGTTACACTCGGTGCACAATTCCTCTCCAAGTCTCTCCGACAAGCGCTCTGCACCGTGATTTCCGCGATTGTGATTTTTCACCGAGCAGCAATCTCGAGGAAATCACGTTCGCGCGCTTGGGCACAAAAGCAGCAGTTGAAGTGCAAAAGTTGCAAATTTCTTCTCTCTAGCTGGCGTCGTGTAATAATAGCAAGAGAGAGAAGTGCATCATCACACCGGCGCAGAGTTGGAAAGAAGCGTCGCTTTTCCCTTGTCTCTCACCTTTCTTTCCGGCTTTCTCATTTGCAGGCGGGCAAAGTGACACTTGGCGCAACAACAGCAGGTATAAAATAAAACAGCCATCATCATCATCCTGCCGCGCGCTGCTTCTTTGTTAGCCCCGGCGTAATAACAAGAAAAGACGCCGGCGTGTGTATAATAACAATAATGCAATGCTGTTTCTCATTACGCCTCCATTGTTAGTTAGTCTCTCTCTCACACACACACACAACGTGCAGCGCAAAGTTTTTCCGTTCCGCTTTACATTTTAATGCAAATCGCACTAAAAGATAATGATGCTGCTTTAAAACGGCCGCACCTCTTATTCTGCATTGTTTCCTGCGCGCACACACACCGCGAATTATTGCACTTGCGGCGCGCGAGTTTCTTTCTTTCGCTGGCAATAACAATTTGTCCCGAGAATTACACAAAACAGCCACATTGCGCCACTGCTTCCAGGCCGCATTGTTTGTTTATTGCCGAGAAAAATTTGCAGCTCAAAACATGTGAGAAAGTTTTATTTTAATCCATTTTCCTTCTCATAATTTTTTCTTTCTGGAAATTTGAACTAATTAATGCAACTTTCTATGGCCAATGTGCCGATACTGATTTTTCTATTTTGTGTTAATTTTATTTCAAAATCCGTACTGAATATTAAAAAAAGATCATATTCAAGAGAACCTTGGCCATTGTTTATTTTATTGGAAGGTTACATAATGTAAAAGTTTAAGTAATTAGCCTCTAAAAATATTTAAGGCTCTTTATTGTTAAATTTTTATTCAATAATAATAATAACAAATTTTGCTCAAATTGTGCACTATAGAGCTTATAAATAAGAAATAAAAATACATAGCATTATGACTTAAAGTAAAGTAAATCTTTTTAAGGCTTATAAAGCCTGATTTATAGTAATATTTTTTTATACATTTATTCAATTTTATTTAATATCTTTTTAAAACTAAATTCTTTTAATTTTTTATAAAAATATTTAATTTTTTATTCATTTCAACACATTTAAATTAAAATATCTGCTAATTAATTTTATTATGTATTACTAATATTTTATAAATTACACAATCATTGTCCATGTATTGATTGAGAATTACTATCAATAGTGTCACCTTTGCACCTATATCTGTCCTATTTATCGTCTGTTATCATTTACTGCAGATTCATATTAATTATGATATGATGAAAAACTGTAATATGTAATTCAAAATTATTTACAACCTTATAACTATGATAAGATATTACTCAATATTACTATAATAAGCATAATATAATCTAAAATTATAGAACGATGATAAATTAAAAATAACAATTTTTGAGTGCCTTTTAGCAGAGGAGATCAAAATTTTTTTAAGTTAATAAAAGAATTTGAGACTATTTGCATGGGAAAATCAAATTCATCTCGCCATCAGAAAGTTTGCTTTTATTTTTATTGAAACTAAACAGTTATAATAATTCAATCATTAATTCCACCAGATAATCTAAAATTGCATTATTCGGTTACTTTAAAATTGTCCTTGGTACGCCTTTATAGTCGCAACCCCCGTTCTCCAATAATCGTTCCTTCCACTCAGCTCTCCGTAGCATGCAAATTTATTTATATTGAGAAAGCCAACAATGGGGCTGGCGTGAGAGGCCGCGACAAAAATAAATATCGCCGTCGGTTTTATCTCGAGAGCTGGTAGTCATAAAAGCAAAGTACACAACAAGGAGCTCGGTTTAATGCATTTTAATTAAACTTGCGATGTTTGCATGTGCGCGCATGAAATTGTAATTATTGCCTTTGAGCTGCAGCGAGAAAGAAGTTTTACAAGACCTTTATATCTGCGCGTTGATAGGGTATTTTCACTCTCCGCACGCGGTGTATAATAAATTGGGTGCAATTAGTTGTCAAGTTTGCTGCATCGCCCACACCCGCCCGATGAAAAATCATTTCTCTCTTTTCTTCCCTCGCTGCTGCTTCTCTCTAATAGGTCTTTTTTCTCTAGCACACACACACACACTCTGCTGGAGTTATTGCAGTCATTAAGTGAACCTTGTGATTGGTGCCCCTTCAATTCCCCTGCACATCACTCACTCTAATGACCTCCTGTCACTTCGCTCCTCCGCCCTTTTTTCAATGCTTGCAAATTTCGTCGACTTGAGTAGAGCCGCGCAGAGAGAAAAAGAAAGAAATGAACGAGACGTGCTGGCAAGTGGGAATAAATCAATATTTCAAGAGGAGCGAAAAAGCTAGAAAAGCACCGACCGACGTTAGTTGCGATTTAATTCGATTCTGTTCTGACTGTCATGGTTTTAGCTCCAGCATGAAAATAATTTTATTTTGAGCGTCGTAATGAATACTGAGAGTGTTAAATTTAAGCTTCATTTATTTTAATAATAATTAGTCGAGTTGAAATTAAAAAGTAAAATAGAAGTAAAATCAATGCACTTGGATTTAAAAAAAGAAAACAAAATATTATTTGCTTTTTGAAAAATGTATGAAAATAAATTTTTATTCTCATGTATGGAGATTTAAAACTTTCTCTAAACAAAAATATCTTATGGAAATAATTTATAATTAATTATTCAAGAATATTTTATTTGAATTCATGGATGGTAAAACAAGTTTAAATTAAAATTTTTGTGCCTAATTTGATTCTTTTTGATTGAAACAACTTTGATTTTTGATTTATATTTCTATATTCTTCAAAAAGTTTAGTGTGTTATATTATTTGGTTCCTTATTTCTTATGATTTCTTACATGATAATATGACCTCATTTTACATCAAGTAATACAAACCCGCACTAATTTTTGTTAAAAGAAATTATGATTGAACTTTAAATTATAATTAGTGGTAGCAGTCGGATAAAATAAATTATTTTATATTATGACAAGTTAATTATGGAAGCATATTTTGAAAGATTTTTTTTTAATTATAAACAAATTTGTAATTTTTACACACTTTTCATTTGCAGCAATAAATTTTCACAAGTTTTCCTTCTTCCCTTGCCTCTGCAGATGGAAACATTCATTTTCCGGCGGCAAACTGCTCTCAAGTTTAACCGATGGCTCAGCAAACTGCCCGCACTTTTAATTTACTATCGTCTGAAGAGCAATTTTTTACCCCAACTTTTTCCTCGCAGACATCTTTTTAGCAGAAAGAATGATTCTTTTTTGCGTTCAGAATTTATGTCTTAACACTTAATTATGATTAATTTTGTTCGCGCAGACGTCCCCACTTTTCTTGGTGCCGCGCGCCGTAATTTATGTTCCTCTCTTAAAACAACATTATCCCCGAGCTTTATATTTTCTTCCTCTCTCTCTCCCTAATGACTTTCCACTTTTCAAATGAGAAGAATTCAAATTTCGGGCAGTGTAATTTACGAGTTTGATTTCTCGGCTCGGGGCCAATAAATTAGCACAAGCAACTCTCCTATTATATTTACTCTCGAGTTTTTTTGCCCGCAATTTATTCACATATTTTCTCTCTCTCTTGGGCGAGAGACGTACAGAGGTAATAACAAAGCCGGCGGATAATTTACGAGCGGCAGCATATTGTTATTGTTTTATTATATGGCAGCACTCATGCTGAGCCCAAAGACGCACACCAGCGCCATATATAATTAAAGTAATGGCATAAATTTCGAGAGAGCTACACATAAAAGTCATAACACAGTTTGCTAATGTTTTGCATCGCGGCCACGGCTCCCAGCTGCAATAAAAATCGGCGTGGGGCACATAAAGTCTCATTATTCAGCCGTAAATTTCAACGTGTGGTGCTGAAGCTAGGCAAATTATTATTTTAGCACGCAGCCCTGAAATTTCGTTTCGATCTGATGCGCATGTTAAATTCAAAACTTTATGTCACCGACCACCTACGTTTGGCAAGTAGGCGAACTGCGCGTCTGTTTTTAAGGAACTCTGAACAAAATTATGATGGAAAATTAACTTTAATTTATAGAAATGAAAATAGTATTTTTTTAAGAAAATTAAAATTATTTAATTTAAAAATCAGCAAAATATTTGTGTTTATTAGAATTAGACTATATTTTATTTTGATAATATTATAAAATTATATTATTACCAATTTTTGACAAATAATTTTTCAATATATTCCAAAATTTTGAATACTGAATTTGATTTTTTTTTTTTATAAAATAAGTTTTTTTCAGTTAAGACAAAATTTGTGATTAAATTATTTCTAAGAGAGGAATATAATTATATTAAAGGTATTTGCGTTTTTACAGTAAGTGAATAAGTAATAAATTGAAAGAGCCTTCTTGATACTTAAGCCGCTATAAGAAGCAAAATGGATGAAAACGCCCCGACGCATACTTGAAATGCCAAAAGGTAAAGAAAAAAATTTATAATTAACACGCAACTCATTTCTGATACAATATACAGAAATGTTCTAGGACAGTTAAATTTTTTTGACAAGTATGATTTTTTTTCACTCAAATATGAAAACATGGAATTCATGGGACAAATGCTTGAATAGGTTTTGGAAAACGATCTGGTCAATAATATTTGGTTCAACTGGAAAAATAAAATATTTGAAATAAAATTTAAGATTCTAAAAAGCTTTAAAACTGCCTTTAGAATTCAAAGTTAATTAACATAGAAAGAAATTTTAAAATTTAAAATCATAAAATTACTTGGAATTTCAGTGTTTTCCTCTCCACTGACAATGAGAAATTGAATAGTTTTGCAAAAATAATGTCATAGAGTTGCATGCATATGGCAGTCACATTAATGACAGAGGTAAATAAGTAATGCACGAGTATTGAAAAGCTTTACTTTGTACACGGCTTTTCTAATTATCATGTCAATTGCAAACACCATTAAATATGGAGTGACGCATTCGTGACGTTGGCAACACATTATATGGTTTGTATAATGCGGCGAATTTAAATACGCAGCCCACTCAGTTTGACACATTCAGCACCTGAATGCGTTGCGCAATTAAATTTTACTGCCGTAAACGAGCACAGAACTGACGGCGCTCGACGTTAATATTTAATGACAATATAATTATTTCCTCCGCGTTTCGTGGAAAATGTCAACTGCAAAGCTGCGCGAAACGAGCGCGGAAAAAACCGACGGTCGGGGAAAGTGCGCTGCACTATGTAAATTCCTAATGTCCGCAATATTTACCAGGACCGATGATTTATGCCGATGATGGACGATGTGTTTTGATTTTGATGTATGGCGGAAAATTCCAGTTTAAAATGCACAGCTGGCGCCCTTATTGGAGCATGGATTTTTGATTGGCAATATAATAACAAACGTGGAAACGGGAATCAAAACATGGACATCAGAGTGGGTGCCGAATTCGCGGAAAAAAGGAGAGAGCGAACTCATTTCCTATGCAAACATAGAGGATGCGTTGAAATCGAAATTTGACATTGTGTTTTCCACATTCACGTTACAATAAAATATTTATAAAATGGTTTATAAGAATACAAAACTAATAAAGATGCGTAAAACTTTCAATGATTTTGTTAATTTTTTGCGTATCTATATTTTTTTTATCTTATTTATGAAATAGTACCATTTACACCAAAGTCAGCTGATTTAAAATAATACGGTAAATTATCTGAAAATGACTTTTAATCTTCGTAAAAAGTTATAAATAAAAAGCAAACGGCCTCGAAAAAAAAGACTTTTCATCTTCATTATTTCAGTTGGCAGTGGAGCCGAAAATCAGGTCCCGAGGCGCAAAGGCGTCTGGTCGATGAAAAGTAATTATTCGCATTGAAGCAGAACATCAAAAAGATTTTCCGGGCGGGTGGTGCGGTGGCGGCGCGCGGTGGTTGGAGTGGCTGGCGCGAGGGGCGCGAGGGGGCGCTCGCGCCGCCGTCGCTCGGCCGCGGCGCTGTCGCTCGTCCGCAGCCTCGACCGAGCGAGCCGCCAGTCAAGCGAGCAGTCTCATCCCGAACGCATCTGCAGTTCCGTGCCGCACCTCGCTGAAGCCGACGTGCGTCGCAACACAGTGCTGAGAAACAATCGTTTTGTGATCAATGGATTCAAATTGTGTGCTCGATTGACAACGCCAACATGTTGACGTCAAGCAACAACGCCTCGAACCAGTACTTGAGGCCGGAGTACCTCACCCCTTTACCTACCACGGTGAGTTCGTAGTCAAATTCAGAAAACAAAAACAATAAAAATTTATTCAACTTATCTCAGTTCGGGGCAACGGAAGTTTGAGAGCTGTCAAGGGATTAGGTCGATTGAATTAATTCATTTAAAGTTTTGTTAATTTATTTTTTATTTTTTAGAAAACTTGAAAAAAAAATGTCTTCAATTAATTCTAGCCTTTTGCATTTGATGTCTGAAGCGTCTTAAGGGCCAGAATTATTGCTATTTTATAATAATTTTCCATAATAGAATTTCGTTTTAAGAAAAAGTATGGATATTATTTACTGTTTTAGAACAATTTTAAATGGGAAAAGTTAATCAGAAACATCAATAAATTGCGTTCCAACAACTAGTGCTGTGTAATAAATTTTCGGGAAGTGCTCAATGACAAAACCTGCACCATCCTCTTGTTAACTTCCGTTAGTACCAATTTCATATGTCAAATTTGAAAAACATTCGAAATTTGAAATTACGACAAGAATATCGAGTGATGGATGATTGAGCAGACGATTTTTTTGAGTAGCACTTTGGAAATATAAATCTTACTCCATCAGCCTGTCATAGAATGAAATATGTGGCTCCATATTGAAGCACCGGCTGGAGAGCAGCTCTCGTTCGCTCCGAGCGGCGTAATAAAGTTGAAAATTTATTACCACCAGCCATTATACATCCCCGCAGTCTGCTCTTTCTTTCAATGCGAGATTTCCATTAAGAGGTGCGGAAAGTGTGTTTGTGTATCACAGAAAGAGTTTTGCGCTCTCTTGTGTAAAAAAACAATTTGGCTCTCGGGTGCATATTATTATTATCTGCGTGAACCTGCCATTCCGAATTCGTGACTGCCGGCGATAAATTTTAACAAGAGTTATGTTTTTCTCGCGTGTCGAGTGATTAACGTCCGAATAGCGCCGGCCAACGTCACTTATTAACGCCGCGCTGAAGAGAAAATAACCACCCTTAGGGCTCGTCGAGTAGTTTTCCTCCCTGGCACCATTGACCTCGATGTCTTGCAATTAGCCCGCCAGATTTATGTCTTAGTTAAATATTGGATGCGGTCGTGATTTCTGAGCTGATAGAAAAAAAAGTGGAAAAGCGCGCTCTGCTTTATTGCCCACGCGGCATTTTTTGTGCTTTTCCACGAAATTCGGTTTTATTGTGCTGTGTGGGCAAGGTGGCGTCGCTCTGCAATAATAGACACGTCCCTTTGTTACACGCCGCGAAAGAGCAGCACACACGTTGTAAAGCCGCAAGGTTGCCATACAAATAAATACCGCAGAGAGCAAGCGAGCGAGAGAGCGCCCGCCGTGAATGAACGTCGCTCGCCCCGCTGCACCCTGCCGAGGAGGAAATTAGGCAACCAGCAGGGTACACGTGCTCAACTGGTAGCATTTTACATAAACAAGGGGCAGTGACTCTTCATTCCTTGAATAAAATATTGCAAATGCAAATAAATATTTTTTTTTCATCGAATATTAATGGAATTCTCATATTTAAAAAAATTTCTGCTTTTAGTTCAATTCGAAAATTACTGTTTCAATTGTGATTTTGATGAAAATATTGAGAATTTTTCTGCTAAACAAAAATCAAATCATGAAGTAATAATCAAAGTTGCTGTTCTTCGTATTTTGTTTTAATATGTTGTAATTACAGTTCAGCTGTCTTTTTCGCAAATGTGAACACTGTTTTTTATTATTTTTATTTGGCTTATTATATTTTTATGCTCATTTTGAACCGTTCAAATCGTGGCCCAAACTGGTTAAAATTCCCCATATTTGGGAGTGTTCGAGGTGCAGCCTAAACAGATTAAATATAAAGTAACATTGATAATGCATGCAATTTTAATCCTCGTCGATCATGCAAATTTGCCTTCTCATTCCTTTTCCGCACTAATGAGCACGTCATCCCGCGTAAAGATTTATTACTGTGCGTTGCATCCCTTCTTCCATCTGTCAATTTCCATCAGCACTTTTTCACATCAAAGCGAACCGTCGTGACAGTTTACGAAAATAATTCTGCGGGCCGATGAAATATACTTGCGAGTAGTTAGCGTGACAGGCAGATATGCGTGTATATTTGTACAAAGCCGCCCCATACATTTGGAATAATAACAACGAGGGGGGTGCGCGCGTTGAGTAAGGATGGGGTTGATGTCTGTCTGGCCATTGAACATGACGGCGCTAGTTTCTGACAGCCCTCTCAAATTAGCCCGGACGGGGATTTAATTTTACTCTCTCAAATCTGCTTATGAAACTCAATTTGAATTTTGATTTTTGTTTCAGCTGGATGCGAAAAAGAGCCCTCTCGCCCTGTTGGCGCAGACGTGCAGCCAGATCGGCGCCGACTGCCCGAACTCGAAACCACTTCTCCCGCCCTTGGACAAAAGCCACAAGAAGTCCGAAAGCTCCCGGGACAAGGTTTCCCCCGCCACCAACGACAGCAGCAGCAATAGCACGCCGTCAGTCACAAAATCCGTGGCCAGTTTCAAACCCTACGAGACGACCAAAGACATTGACGTCAGCGGCCGTTCCTCCTCAGGTCGCTCCAAGACGCCCCAGTCCTCCAAGAGTGTCACCCCCAACAATAACAACAACACAATTGTAGCGTCGGCCAACGGCCCCACCACCACGCGCTCTCCAACCACCTCCCCTCACTCCAGGAAAACACCTTCGGAGGGTAAGGAGAGGGAGAGGCACAGTCCGGTCAGCAGCAAGGCCGCGGCCTTCTCGAGTCTCATCACCGGCGAGTCCAAGGACTCGACGCCCTCCTCCTTCAAACCGAGTCCAAGCAGCAGCAGTGCCGCCGCCCTTGCGGCTGCAGCGGCGGCCGCTTCTCTTCCCCCAGGCTTCCTCGGCTACCCCCACCTCCCGGACCTGGCCCTGAGCAGCCTCATGTTCGGTAAAACCCATCCCGGGCTCAACCCCTACCTGAGCTACTCCAGGATGAAGACTCCTGGAGGTGCCGAGTCCCTGGTGCCGGTGTGTCGCGACCCTTACTGCACAGGGTGCACCCTGAGCTCGCACCTTCTGAAGGGCGGCGCCACGCCCTCCTCGGCGCAGACGGCCACCACGCCCACTTCAACGGCCTCGACGGCCGGCAGCTGTCCGAGTGGTTGCGTCACCTGTGATCACCAAAAGGGCGCCAGCAGCCCTTCGGCCCTGGGAGCGGCCGCCGCCCTGGCCCTGCCCCACCTGATTCCAGGTCTGGGGTCTCCGTACGCTTCGCCCCTGACGGCGCACATGCCGTACGTGTGCAACTGGATCGCCGGGGACAACTACTGCGGCAAAAGGTTCACGTCGAGCGACGAGTTGCTGCAGCACCTCAGGTCGCACACCAACCTGACGGACTCTCTGGGTGCCTCGATGCCCACCCACCCGCTCCTCGCTAGTCATGCCGCCGCCATGGCTGCCCTGCACCGCACCTACCCCACCCCCCCGCTCAGCCCGCTGGCCGCCGCCAGGTACCACCCTTACTCGAAACCGCCGCTTCCCCACTCCCTGTCAGCCGCCGCGTTCCAGCTTCACCCTCACCCAGGGATGCCACCCTACTTTTCGCCCTACTCCTTGTACGGGCGCGCCGCCTCCGGAATGCATCCTTAATTCGCTCATCGCGTGAACAGTGCTGATTGTGATGACTGATTCTGGTTTCCAAGGAATTGTTCTTTTTTCGTTCGGCAGCTAATGTGATTTTTATCTTTTGACAGAGAGAAACGGAAAAAAATGTGGATTTTTTGTTATTTGGCTTTTTTTAGTTACACACGTACTTGGAAACTGGAACTTGTTCTAGTTGCGCGATGCAGTGATTGAGTTTAAATTATTATATCATGTTGTGAGTGTGATTTTCATATCATGTCAGGGTACTGGACTCGTACGTTGTTGCGCCCTGATTAAGAGACTGATCGTCTGTAATTCAGCAATTGTCATACATATTATGTTTCTCTCGCCCGATAATCTCTGTAGGGTCACATGAAGCGGGAAAAAGAAGAAAAAAAATGATATATATTTTCAACAAATTAAGTGCCACACAATATTTATTATCAGAATCCAGCAGCCGAGGGCAGTCGGCCAATCAAGTGTGATTTCCTTCACAGTCTCTGCGTGTTCCAAGTCTCATCTGTGTTTCAAAATTCGTCTCAGTGTCGCATTTTCCCGTTTTTATCTTGCCTCGTCTGGCTGCCCTCTGAGCTGACACGTTCTCGCTGATATGTAAATAATAATCGTCAAGAAGAATTTTTGTACATGTGATGTACAGGATTATTAATTTAATATAACAGTTGTCAAGAACCAAAGCTGCGATTTTTTCATTATAATTCCTTATTTTTACAATTTCCATCCATCTCAAAAGAAAAATAAAATGTGTCTCACAGTGTTCCGATCTTATATGAAATATTGACATGATAATTAAAATAAAATGTTGGAAAATATATTATTAAATTAAAATACAGTTTTAGGTTCATTTTCGTGTTTTTCTCCGAATTCAAATTTCTGTCCCAATTTCTCTGTTTCAATTTTTGATGTTGATTTGTTGTTCCTATTGACGAAACACAAAATAAGCTTCGTAAAAATAAAAAGTTGGTGGACTTAAAAATCAAACGCTGCTGTTTTCCTGCATAAAAAAAACCTACCACTCTCTATATTTAGTCAAACAACTCAAGAGCCTATTATTACGGCGCTGAGTGTTAAAAGTTCTGCGAGAGATCTAACAATGTTGGAATAAATTACTCATAATCACTCGTAATTATATCATGCGTGGAAGTACATAATGCGGGTCGGCGCGGCTAACCTTCCTCTATATGATTAGACCCTTTATTGCATACATCATAATAACGTCAAGTCTCTCTCTCTCGGAGATAATTTTGTGGCTTAAGTGGGCACACAAGGCTATAATTTAGGCGTTGCTGTGCCGCATAAGCTAGTTGGCAAATCATGTGTAGAAGCAAAAAAATAATCGCCATATCCACACGTAATAACAATCATTTCCACCGGCGAAAAATGAAAGAGCGAAACCGCCTGAAACTAAATTTTCATCCGGAAGAATAATAACAAAAAAAAATATGAATCGTTCTGGCGAAACCTCGTGTCCAATTATTATCAATTAATAACGGCGTATTGGTTTATACGTAATTATGCACGCGGCCGCAATTAATTTCGATTGAATTTTATTTATTAATTGGTTATCCCTGCAGACGGACGGTGATTAAATTTTATTGCTCGCAACATTGTGTGCAATTCGATAATTTTCAAAGGCGGTGCGCGATCATTAGGCCCAACTCGCTCGCTTTATGGCCTGTCACCCATCGCTCTTGTGACCCCGGCGACTCGCCTGCGTTTTTGTCGGCACCGAAATTAGGGTCATCCGAGGCCAGAGTACCAAAATCCACGCCATACAGATTTATTCAATGACACGGTGCTCATTACATTGTGTTTAGAGGCAAACAGACTGACTATGCAGCAATGCCTCTTCTTGCGAGTAAAACAGCACATTGATTATTATTTCTATTTGAATTTTGTTAACTAGATTTAGGCTTCAGAATTATATAGTTTTCTTGTTTGATTAAGTTGAATAAGTGAAAGTGATCGCTTTAAAATGGCAAAATATTCATGATGAAGTTATTTATATAATAACAAATAAAATTATTAATTTTTCTATTGCATTTCTTTAAAAAGATACTTAATAGTTTGATAAAATTATTAAAATATTTTCATAAATGTAAATTATATTAGTTATATTTATTATATAAAAAAAATTAATAAATGTGTTATTTTATAATTTATTTATGATATATATACACAATTTTTGTAATTTTTTTAAAGTATATATTTTAATTTTTAATCTTTTGTTATTTACTAGCAAAGTCTCCATAATGAGGTTGAAATGAAAGACCATAAAAATTTGAAAATCAATATTAAAAAGAATTATTGAAAAGAAATCAATTTTTTTTTATCAAGTGTCAAGTAATATCCCGTGCTGTTATTTGCAAACACAAAGCATTTGACTATACTTCCATCTTGAAATTTCCTCTTCAATCTTATCAAAAGAAATTGAGCCGTCGTTCTCGTTCGTCTCGAAGACAGCTGCAAGTGAGCGCGGAGACGGCGCCTGAAAAATGACAACAAATACTGCGCCGGGGATGCGTAGGAGAGAAAATAATGATTAAATTAAAAACGAGAAAAAAGCGAAGAGAGAGGGCTCTTTGTCGAGAGAGGAAGGAAGCCGAAAATGGGGAGACGCGCCGAGAAGAGGCAGGGTGACAACATTTTAATTACGCCATCAGATATGTTCACATAAATTGATTAAAAATCCGTCCCGCTGACAGCCGACGCAACACGGACGACTTCTTTTCTTGACAGCGCCTTGCGCAGCAGAAAAGGGAACGAATGGAAAATAAGAAAGAGAGCAGAGAAAGAATGAAAGAAGGAGACGCGGCAGGCAAACCAACGAGATGGAATCCAATTCATTTAATTGATAATTCCGCCTGTCAAAAAGAGCACGCCCTGACGCCCAGAGACTAATTTCTCCTCCATGAACTCCAGCGCAGGCAAATCAATAACCTACAAGTTTATATTCCAATTGAAAATTAATTTTATTTCTTGAAGATTTAAATACTCTCTAGATACATTTTCCATTTTAAGAAGGAGGAATTAATATTTTGAACTGCACTCGGGAAAAATAGGCGATATTTTGGTGAAATTGGCGATAAAAGCCGAATTGGTAATTTTTTTATTATTATTTTGTAAAACAAAAATTTGAGTTTTACTAAAAAAATGCCTCCTATACGAGTTGATAATAAAAATTAGTAACCGCTCTCGTCACTATTGAAAAGGCGTCAAAGGGTGTGAAAAAGAGCGGCGAGTTTGGCACATCAATCTGGCCGGCGCTCTCCGGGTGTATGCGTGGCGTGGGTTTTGATATGCAAATGAGGCTCATTTAATTGTGTCGTTGGCTGCACCGCGCAATATTTCACCTTTTGAACCGCGCACGGGGGTCTGCCCCTGCCGAGAGAGTGCGCGCTTTGCTTTTGTAATCGCGGCGCACCGCGCGCGAGTGATTTAGTGCGGCCCGGCCGGTTATTACGGCGGCCGAGCAGCGAACGGCACCGCCCTTGCGAGGTCGCTGGCCACCAGACGCCCCGAGTTTTGGCTGCCGCCGAGATTTATGGAAGAAATTAGTGGCCCTGCATGACAGCAACAACTACCAAAGCCAGCCGAGGCCAAAACCCGTCGCCGCCGATTTTCCTACATTTTTTTTTTATATATTATTCTTTTGGAGAAGAATTTGAATGTTTGCCTCGCTCGTTTGATTTACTTCCCCTCGCACAGACGCCGATGAAATTCGCGCACGGATATAATAAATGGATTAAAAAGGGCCAGAGATATATGGGGCCATAAATTCGCTGCAATTCGCGCGCCGATGAAATTTAGGTGCTGCTCGTTCGCATAAGCGGTTCCACGTCGGACGCCCGCGCGTGAAGACTGCCAAGTGCGTGCAAAGGGGGGGCCAATGGATTTTTTTTTCGGCTGATCGCTCTTGATAATAATAAATCAGCAAATTGACGTTTTTATATTTATTGATACTACATAAAAAGAAATCAGATTCAAATTCTGCCACTATGATTAGACTGGTGAAAAAAGCCTTTGGATACTTTTGCAAAGGAATTTTTAGTTTTATATCCCAAATCAAGTCGATTTTTTAATAAATTCTAAAAAAGTTATTTTTGCAAGCATTTTTTTTAATTGATAGTGTAAGTTATCTATTACTAACTTTGTTTTAAATTTTATTAGCTTTTCAAAGATGAGAGAAAAATTATTTACTAGTTTAATGTTTACTAAAAAAACATTCAAATCACCATAAAAAATTACAAAACAAAGCTTCAATGTTTCAAAAATTTAATTTGAGCTTGCCATACAAATATAAATAGTGAAAGTTAAATTTTTGTAAAATTTCTCAAAGTAAATATGGTAAATCTGAAGGAAAAATTCTAGGAGTTAAATATTTGAAGTAAAATAAAAACTTCCGATAATTTTGGATTTTAATCTTGATTTGATTTAAATTACTTAATTTATTTTCAACGGATAAAAAATTAAAATAACTATTTTTTTAAACACAATTTAGTTTATCGCTTAGAGAAACTGAACATTCACAGTAACACATCCTTTGACCAAACTAACTTTAGGTTACGTTAAAATTTTCAATTTTTTTCACCAATGAAGATAAAATTTTCCTTTAGCATGTAGATTTTCTTGCGGTTCACAATTCACAAGTCACTAATCGTAAGATAATTTGAAAATATTTCTTTTATTTCATTTCTTCTTTATTTAAAAAATACTCTCCAACAAACACCTAGCTTGGATATTTCTGAATTTTGATGTAATAATTATTTCTTAATAAAATGATTGATGGACTATGCGGAATAAAAATTCACAATGTTTGATCGATTGTTAAGAAATTTGATTTTCGCCTGGCACTACTTAATACAAGAATTTGAAATGATTAATGGGGACTGTCCGCAAGCCGAAGCATGAGGCCCCAAACGATCCTTTTGATTTTCCTGGCTGCTTTGAAGTTGCGTTAGCCCTGTTCTCATAATTAATATCTCGGCCGTAATTTATGGATCTGATATCAAAAGTGGGCCGCCTCGATCTGGTCAGTCTCCGCGCGCACATCACACATCGCCTGCTACAATAAACATACACACACACATAGAGGACTCCACATAAATAGTCCTGACGTGCTCGCATGATTTATGCGCGAGTGTGTGATTATTTAAGAGATGCATAATTCATCCGGCGGCGGCAGGGGCATCGCTTTGTGCGATCGACAAAAAAATAAAATTTCCCCACCGCTGTGCTAATATAGATCACGATGGGCGAGCAACTCTTTTCCAGATTACAATTCTGATTTATTGGCCCTTGAATAGTCCATAAATTTCATTGATGTGTTGCATAGATAGCAAAGCAGCAGGCAGGACAAGAGAGCGGCTATATAGACTGCCCACGTCCCCTGCCTGCTTTCTCACTCTAATTTATGCCCGGTAATATTAAAGCAGAAAGGAGATATTATTTAAATCTCTCTCTCAGTGCAGCGCGTCCATTATTATAATTGAGGTGTTGATTTATTTGCCCACTAATAACAAGGCACTCGCCTGTCAAAATATACCAAAACACCCAGTCATTAGACGCACACAATCGCCCGTTTTTCTGCCCAAAATTGCAGCTTTTCGCTCAATAAATTTCACAGGAAAAATGAAAAAATTTCACAATAAAAAATCCAAAAGTGGTGAGCATATAATTAAATATCGCAAAAATTAAAAATATCTCAAAGTAGGTTATCCCTGGTGGAATTATTTTAAGTCTACGCAGCAAAGAAATGAAGTTTTTATTTGTATTAATTTTACAATTCAACTTAAAGAGGAAAATTAAATATAGATTGTAAACGTTTTAAAATGTTTATATTTCTTCTCTCATCGCAAAGCTAAATTAATTTAATGAATGAAATGACTGTCCACTGCTGAATAAATGGCCCTATCAGTTTTGATCAAAATCTTATATTTTCCATTATAAATTTATATTTGATCGATTTTCACTGAAAATAG